GAAGATTCAAGGTGTCTCGGGACTCCAGGAAGGAGTTGCTCGTGCAGGCTGGCACCCTGGGCAGGCTTCCTAGAGGAGGCGCTGGGATTTGGGTTGGATCTTGCAATGTGGATTCAACATGAGGATGATGCCATCCTCCTAAGTGTCCTCCCCCGACCCTGTTTTTGTTAAATGCAACTTGACACTTGACTGTCAAGACTCAGCTTTGGTGTCACCTCCTCCAGGAGGGCCTCCCGACTACGATCCCCTTTACCCAGAGGCCACCATTGCCCGCTCATGTGTCAGCCTCCCTGGCTGAGACTGAGTTCTTGAGGGTGGGGCCTGGCCACCTTGGGAGCTGGGTTGTATCTGCTAACCTTGCCGGCTCCTCCAGCTGGGTGCAGAGCTCCCGGGAGGCCACTGGGCCATTCCTAAGGAAGGCTGGAACCCAGGCCTCTGGGGTCTGGGTGGAGATCCCACTCCAAGGGGGCCGGGAACACCCCGAGCCCTGCCCCTCCCACCCACCTTCAGGTCGTAGAAGATGATGTCGCCGAGCACCAGGTACACCTTCAGGTAGTAGAGGGTCTCCTGGTCGAACTCCAGCGGTGAGTTGCAGAGCGACAGGGCCTTGAGGTAGAAGTGCTCCGCCAGCTCGCCGTCGCCCAGCCGGTGGTGCAGGGCAGCCAGCCGGTGGTAGGCCACGCACTCATTCAGCCGGTCCCCTGGGGTGCAGGCCAAAGGGGCAGGTGTGAGGACGTGGCTTCCTGGGGCAGGCAGGGCACAGGCCCCTCAGGAGCAGGTATGCAGACCTCGGGCAGCACCTGGCTTGCCTCCAGGCACCTGTGGTCACCTGGGAAGCTCTGCCCAGTCCCTTCCAGGTTCCCAGACTCACTTTCCCATCTGCAAAGCAGAACTAATAAGGCCTGCCCCCGTCTACTGTGAGGCTTTGGCAAGTCGGACTTGGATGGCCCAGCTCTGCCTACACATAGCCACCTGCCTTTGCTCACTGGTTTTAACCAGGGGAGCCCAAAAGCCATGCAGTCCAGGTGCTCCCGGGCACCAGGGCTCCAGGCAACCCACAGACGTGACATCCGACTCCTGGGTGTGTCACGATCAGAGCCCCCTACCCTGGGGAGTCACTGCGTGCCTGAGCTCCAGGTCCCCCCACAGATGTGCAAACCCACCTTGGCTGTCTCCGATATCTTTCCGTTTTCAGGGCGAGTGCCGTGGAGCCTGCATTCAATGCATTCCCACACAGCTGCACACCTACTGTGTACTGGGACCCGGGGCACAAGGTGCTGGGCATGCGGCCTGCCCAGGGCTCCCTGTGTCTGGAGGCAGACAGACAACCCTGGCACAGCACCAGGGGATGCCCAGCCTTAAGGGCAGGCTGCTGGAAGGGGAACTGGGACTTCATCAGCCAGAGAGCCGTGTGGTTTGATGAGGGTGGGAAGGGCACAAGAGAAAGGGAATATGCCATTCAGCCAGGCACAGGGACCAACGAGATGCCTGGCATGTCTGGAAGCCAGGCCACACTGGGCAGCCCTTGTGGTCAGCAGCGGGAAGAGGCAGAGGAAGCAGAGCTCAGCCCAGGCAGGGGGCTCTGGCACCGCGTGAGAGACCTCGGATGTGCCCCACGGCTGGACTGGGAAGCCAGCTGGGCAGATGTGCCTGCCTGGACAGGAGACCAGGAAATCTGGCAGGTGTTTCGCTCCTGCCCTGAAGACCTGGAGGCTGGGCTCTGGCAAAGTGTGGCTCCTGGCAGGGTGGGGGCTCAGGGGGACTTACCCAGAGTGATGCTGAGGCTAGGGCTTGTGGGCAAACTCCAAGCCCTCCTGGGGTTTCCTAGGGCCATGTGGGCAAACTCCAAGCCCTCATGGGCTCCTCCAGCATGGCCAGGCAGTGCCACCAGCTTTGCACGCCGCAGCTCCGCCTTGTCCGCTTGGTTCCCCGTAGTCACTGCCAGGAGCAGCGCCGGTCCTACCACACGGGCAGGTGGGGTCAGGCTTCCCGCAGCACCCACCTTGCCCAGCGCCCTCCTCAGCTCGAACATGTGCTTGGAGCTTCCCACGCCCCAGCTACCCCTGGATCTCGACACAGCTCTGTGCTCTGGGATAACGCACGGGTCAAACGCCCAAGTTAGGGGCTGAAGAGTCACCTGAGGCCCATCCAGCTACACCCGGCAGCCTCAGACCAGCCTCTCCCACCTGCGCACCGGGGGTCTGACTGGGGAGCCGGCACTCCTCTCTGCTCTAAAGCACCACATTTATCTGTGCCCAGGGCTGAGCCACACCGTGAGCTCAGAGGAAGGGAGAAGCCGTCCCCGCTTCAGGGCTGCATGCAGTCCTGGGCCTCCACTGACATGCTGTGCGCCTTTGACATGTCCCTGTGCCTGAGCCTCAGTTTCCTCATCTGTAAGATGGGGACAGGACTTCCTGCTCATGGTTGCTTGAGATCAAGTGCAAGGGTAAGGCCATTGCCATGTCCAGGCTCCAAGCGTTTGTCCCGGGCAGGGGGCACAGTCAGTATCATTCCTGGTGAGACCACTAGGAAACCAAGCATGTGCATGGGTGGCCCTGCCTCCAGGTGCGAGGCCTCTGCCCTGCCACACCTGTGCCTCAGCCCTCCATGTGCCCCCCTGAGGCTCACCCACATCAGCCCACAGGCCAGCTCACCCGGTAGAAGGACACGGCTTTCTCCCGCTCCCAGGCCCCATTGAAGAATATGTCTCCAGCTGCCTCAAACAGCTCCAGCCCCAGGTTGAGGTCGCCTGTGTACAGGGCCACATTCTGTGCCCCTGAAAGGAGGCAGAATTCCCTCAAGACCCACACCTGGCGAGGTGGCCACGCCCACCCTCGCCAGCCTCCTTCCTGTCACACACTGCAGGTACACCTGAGCATTTATCAGACCCTGGGCATTAGGGCTGCCCCCACCACTGGCATGAGGACAATGAACTGATGAACCTGAGTGACAGGAGTGACTGAGCAGCTGCAGCCCGGGGAGCCCGACACCTGTGAATCCTACCACCAGGGCTAGCCCTAGCCCACTCTCCCTGCACTCAAACCAGTCTCCGTGGCCCCAGATTGCTGGGAGCCCATCCCCTGGCTCCTTTCTGCATTGCCACATCCCTGTCACAGGCTCCGGGCCCACACCAACAGTGTTTGTGGGTGGGCCTGGTCCCTTCTTGGCCATGAGCTCTTGATCCCTCTCCTCAGCTCAAGGAGGTATACAGCACGTGCTCAATGATGAAAGCTTCAGCAGGTTCGTGGGCTTCACAACTTGTTCCAGATCACACTGTTTGGGAAAGCCTCTGTAAACAGCTGCTACGATAGATGCATTTTGTAAGGAGATGTGCCAGGTGTTGCTTGGAGCAGGTTCTTCTGTGTGTTAACTGAGTGGCCACATTATTTGAGCATTGCTGTATACCAGCAGGTGCTGGGCACTGAGGGGCCACCCTCTGCCCTCAGGGAGAAGATGCTGGCCACTGGGGGGAGGATATGAGGGAACCAGTTGGACGGAGGGAAAAGGCATACAACAGATGCTCAGCAGTGGCTTAGGAATGAGTGGATGGATGGATGGATGGGTGTGTGGACAGACGGATGCTTGGGTGGATGGACAGATGAATGGGTGGGGGTTAGAATGATGTGTGTATGTATGGGTGGGTAGACAATGTATGGATGGGTGGAGGGTAGATGTGTATGTACATATGGATGGATAGATGGGTGGATAGACAAATGTATGGGTAAATGGACAGATGAATGGAGGGATGTATTAATAGGTAGATTGGTGGGTAGATGGATGGATGGACGAATGGGGGAATGGATGGAAGATGAAGAGGAGGATGGATGATGTATGGATGGAAGGATTAACAGTGAATGGATGGATGGACGGATGGATGATGAAGGATGAACAGGAGGTGAGTGGATAGATGGATGGAAGGACAGGTGAATGGATGGATAGAAGGATGAACAGCTGAATGGATGGATAATGGGAAAATGGATGAACAGGTGAACAGATGGACAGGTGAATGGATGATAAAAGGATGGATGGATGATTGATGGATGGATGGACCCACAGGTAAACAGATGATGGAAGGATGAATGGATAGATGGGTGAATAGATGGATGATAAAAGGATGGATGAATGGACAGATGGATGAACAGGTAAATAGATGATGGAAGGATGAATGGATGGATGGACAGTGAACAGCACGGGCCCTCCTGCAGCCCTTGCCACTCACCTGGATGTACAGGTCCACCAGCTCGCTCTGCCGCAGGATGTAGTAGATCTTCCATGCTTGCAGCCAGGCATGCGCCGCCTCCTTTTTCTTCTGGAGGTCAATGAAAATCCCCAGACTTCGTTTGGTGTAGTCCAGAGAGGATTTGTAGGCCCTGGAATCAGACACGGTGTCAGAACAAGGGCTCTCATCCTCCTGGAACCAGTCTGCCTCCTCCTGGGTCTGGTGACAGATGAATCTGGAATGTGGGGACTGGGAACGGCCCTCTTGTGTGTGCAGTGTTCTGCCCTTCCCAGGCTGCTGGGAGGGCCAGGGTGAACACACACGGCATGGAAAAGATGAAGGACATCCTTCTGAGGGAATCGAGCATCGTGCTGCCCTGTGGCAGGAGGAGTGTGCTAGTCCATCTCCCCTCTTCCCAGACATGGCCTGTGTCTTCTCCAGACGCACCAGGAGCCGTTAGTGTTCAGTGGCTATCTAGGCCGATGGTTCTTGAGATGTGCAGGCATCGCAGTCACCCAGAGGCCTGTCTGTATAGCTTGCTGGCCCTGCCCCCAGAACTTCCGGCTCCACAGGCCTGGGGCAGACCCTAGAACTCCCACTTGCCACAAGCTCCTAGGTGACATGGATGCTGCTCTCCTGGTCCAGGCACCACACTTTGAGAAGCATGGCTTTAGCACACTGGCCTGTTTTCCTTCTGTGAACCTGAGGCCAAGACTGGAGCCAGTCTCCCAGGTCGCCATGGAATCTGGCTCCTTCCCTGCTCTCTCAGTAAGTCCGACACTCGAGGAGGTGTAACTGCAGCAATGTCACCGGGCCCTGTGAGTGGGGTGGCCAGGGCCATGGTTACCCCACCACATCAGGATGCTCGGGGGAAGCCGAGTGGGCCACATATGGGATGTGAGACCTTGAAACCCTGCCCCAGGGAAGCAGGTGACACAACTGGCTCTGTCTTCTGTGGAAAGAAGCCACAGGTGGCTGCTGTGGTCACATTTAAGGGGACAGATGAAGGCCAGGAGTGAAGACTCGGGGCAGGCAGAGGTCAGATGATGAAAGCCACCATAGTAGGAAGAATAGCCCAGACTGCACGTACTGCCTCTGCTGGGGTTGAGATGACCTTTGGGGAGGTGTGCAGGCAGAGATGGGAAGACGTGTCACCCAACAAGAGAGGCTCAAGCTGGGACTCGGGCCATCCGCAGCCCTGGGACGACCCCAGGCCCAGCAGCTCAAAGAATCTGATGCCAAGAAACCAAATGATCCCAAGGACAGGGGCTGCTGGGGCCCTGGGCCAGCTTCCCTGTGCTCCCCTCCCTGCCCTGCTCCCCCGCCCTCTTTGTGCCCCTCCCCGCAGTGGGGGCTTGGGCGCTGGGTTCCTGGAGGGTCTCCTTCTAGTCAGAGAATGCCCCTGGGGAAGAAGCCTGGGTCTGAAACCCCCACCCTCCTTGGGCAGATGGGTGGGACCGGGGCCCCTTCACATGGTCCTCTCCAAAATCTCATCCCTCCTAGGGCCAGGAGTGGGTGACAGGCCTATGCTGGGAAATGGGCAGATTTGGCCACAGCCCCTGGGGCTCTGGGCCAGGCCACAGGAGGCACCTCTGAGTGGTCTCACTATGCCATGACGTCCATCTGGGAGGATGGACAAAGCGCTGCAAGGCAGAGGGGCTCCACAACAGCATCCCTTGTCTTGGTCATTTCCCTAGACTCAACTTCCTCATCTATCCTAATCCTTCTGCGCCTAGATTTCGGACAGCCCTGCCCACCTACTGTCCGTTCACTGCTCAGTCTGCAGTGACTGTTCTATAGCACTCCATGGCTCCCCAGTGCTCTTGGGGGAAAAGGCCAAGCCACAGCCTGAGGCCCCAGGCCCTGCTTAGCTCTCCAGAAGAGCTTCTCACCATCCAGCACCCAACCCACCCACTCCCAACTCTGCACCTCCCTGGTAAGCCCGACTCACTCAACCCTGCTCACACTCCCGCTCACTCACCACCATTCACCCACGCCACTCATCCTCACTAGTCACCCCTGGGCCTTCACACAGGCTGCACCACCAGCCCCTCCCGCCCCACCACCATCACCTATTACTTGACTAAATCCAATCAACCCTCTGGTCCCAGACTGAAGAGGCTTCCCTAACCCGGGGCCAAGTGCTGCCCCGCCATCACGCCACTCACCCTTTTGTGGCTTCTCTGGCCTGAAGCTCACATTCCTACATTCAGCCACTGCCACCTGAGGACCCCACAAGCCCCATTTGTGGGTGGGGCCTGGCCCACTCTGCACAACAAGCTTTTGCGTGAACTGCTCTGCGGCTTTGGGCAATCACCTGCCCCGTGTCCTCTGTGAAGTGGGATGACAGGTGCACAGGCTGCCAACATACCAAGCAGATAACACAGGCACAAGAACCGGCGTTCCAGGCCTGGCTCATGGAGGGGCCCCAAGTCCCAGCTCAGCAGAGCCTGCCTCGACCCCAGGGTTATGTCTAGGGATTCCCAGCACGCAGGCCTTTCAGTGCTCAAGGCAGGATGGTCCCTGGGCAAACCGGGAAGAGCTGGCTGCCCCAGTAGGCACAGAGGGCCTGGCCCTGCATGGGAACGGCCTGTCTCCAGGGCACTTGCCAACATCTGCTGTTGGCCATGACTCAGCACTTTCGATGGTGGAAAAACCACTTGTTTCTGAATCACAAATTCCAGGTGTGCCCTGACCCGAGTGGCCCTGGAAGGTGCACAGGACAACCCGGGGTACCCACTCTCCACGTGGCCCATCTCCATGGCGACCAGACGGGCCCACTCGTAGTAGCCCTTGCCCTGCTGAGCCGGGCCCTGGTGGGTGAAGTCCCGGCCACACTCCCTGCAGGGCAGCCTCGAGAACAGCCTCATGGCCTCCAGGAGGTAGTGCTGGGCCAGCCTGCTGGCACCCGCGTGCAGGCACAGGGCCCCGAAGTTGGCCAGCACCACTGCCTGGTTCCTCCTCTGGTCCAGGTCCCAAGCCACCCGTAGGGCGTGGTAGTAGCTCTCGGCTGCCTGCCTCGTCCGGCCCGTTCTCTTCAGAGCCACGGCCACCATGTTGGCATTCACGCCCTCCTGGTCCTCACTGGCCACCACTGCATCCTGGACAGACTGCAGGATGTTCAGGGCCGCTGGGCTCTGCCCCTGAAGCACGTGCAGCCAGGCCACAGCCACCAGGCGGTCCATGATGGCACGGACTCCGGCAACAGCACTGGCTTCCACCGCCTGAGTCATGAAGGTGATGGCCGGGCCGTGGTAGCCATGGTGGCTGTACAGCTGGGCCAGGCTGGCGTGGAGAAGTCCGCGCATTGCCTGGCCTGTGCCCCGGGTTAGGGAGGCCAGCGCTCGCCTGAGGTAGTGGGGAGGCTGTGGGGCTGAAGGACGTTCTGGAGCACCAGGTTCACGATCCTCAGCGAGCTGGACAGTGAGTCCTGTGCCCTCAATGAGGCCACCTTGACACAGCTCAGCACCAGGTGGGGCAGGCACTTGCAGCTGTAGATGTCAGCTAGGAGTAGGTGACAGTCTGAGAGCCACGCAGCCTCTGGGGCTCCCGAGTCCCTGTGCAAAAGCAGTAGCCGCTCTAGGACGGGCAGGGCCTCCTCGGGCTGCTTGAGGTGCACGTGGTGCCTGGCCAGCAGGAAGCAGGCCCGGGCCTCGGCCTGCAGGCTCTGGCCACCCACCGCCCACCGTAGCACCAGCTGCAGGAGCTCCCCCTCCACCTCAGTGCTGCAGATGTGGCCAGGCGTCCCCAGGAGCAGGGCCACAGCTTTGGGAACCACCTGTGTACACTTCTCCCAGTTCTTCTGCTTCCAGTAAATATTGGCCAGGTTGGCGTACACAGCCACCACCAGGAACAGGTCCCCAAAGCTGCCCTCCAGGGCCCCCGGTGCTTCCTCAAAGTACACCCAGGCCTGGGACAGCTTGAGCCTCCTGCTGCACAGCCGCCCCAGGAGGAAGCAGAGCCTGGCCAGGACCATGACGAGGCCAGCTTTCTTGGCCACCCCTCGGGCCTGTGCCAGGTGCCCAGTCAGCTCCTCGTCGCTAAAGCTGCAGAACACGCTGCTCAGCCATGGCAGCGCCACGTCAGCTGGCCTTGTACCCGGGGGCGTTCAGGAATAGCAGCAGTGAGCTCAGGGCCTCTGGGTCCTCCCAGTCATCCTCAGCTTCCAAGCAGAAGGAGAGCTCCTTAGGGTCCTGCAAACTCACGTTGCTGGATGCTGGGGGCAGCCTGGGCAGGTCTTTGTTATATTGTTCCAGAACATTCTTCATCTTCCGCAGGGTCTCCTGTGGCTCCGGGCCCAGGCAAGGTGGAGGTATTTCTGCAAGTCACAAAAACACCTAGACAGATTAGAGTCCAGCAGTGAGTCCTTGGTCCACTGGGGACAGGGTCTCCGCATCCCCGCCCTCTGTGTCCCTGGTGCAGCTTGCCATGAGCCCTTGAGAATTATGTGCAATGCAAACCCAGGGCCTGGAGCACGTAGGAACTCCGGCACTATGGGGACAAAATACGCAGGCCTGTGGCCCGACTCTCCTACAAAATCACCCTCCTGTCCTGCTTTGTCACCCACCTGACCGCATGGTTTTAGGGCACTATGTCAGCTCAGTGATCCCTCAGAGATGCCTTTTCAGGCCCCCCGATGGGGTACAGGAATCCATGAAATCCCCAACAGCCAATCAGAGCTATTGATCAGCTCAAAAGTTGCTATGCAAAATTGGTAAAGCCACTGATGGCACAGGACAGGGGTGTTGTAGCCATGTACCCAGCTCCGTGCAGGGAAACGGACCATCCCTGCAGGAAGGATGGGAAAGCTTCCAGGCCCCTGTGGCCACCTTTACCTTGGATGGTCTGAAAACCTGAAGCCCACAGTTCCTAAAGGGTTAACAAAGGCCAGGCTGCTCAAGCAGCCCCCTGACGCCTGCTGGCTTCTTAGCCAAAGCCCCCTCCCAGAGGTGAGCAAACAAGCGCATTTCCTGTTGGAAAACCTGGGATGAAAGGAGGCATTACTTGGAAGGAAAAAACCTAGATTTAAACAGACTCTGTTTCAAGCTCACATGTAAAAGGTATTTTCAATACAAACTGTCTCCTTATTCGTCTGTAAAGCCTTGGAATTAAAAAAATAAATATGATTCAGAGACAAATGTCTGACTTGACTACACTAGATTAGCTAAGAAATCTCCCCCACTCGGCAGAGGCACACAGCCCCTCCCAGCCACTACCCTGGCCTCGAGGGCAGCTGGAAAGCCACGTGCCATTGCTCCAGGGACTTTGGCAGAGGGTGGAACCACCCCGTCCCTGAGGCAAACCTACAACAGCCTTCCCTTCCCCAATGGCTTCCCGGGCTGCCTCTGGGACCTTGTGCCTGCATCCCAAATGTACTGGGATGGATCCCATTCCCAGGGAACTTCCAAGGGCCCTTGGGGCGTCCACATCACCAGGCTGTCCACATACGGACCCTGTGTGATGGGAAGAGACAGAGCCATAGAGGGGAGAAGGGAGGGTCTCCCTGAATCAGCCCCTCAGGAAGGAACAGACCCTTCAGGGACCTCAGTTGAGGCCCCTGGAACCTAAGGCTCTCAATTCTGCCACCCGCTGAGGGCAGTGTGGCCTCCCACCTCTGAGGCAGAGCACAGGGCGAGCTGCAGCTTCTCCAGGTCATGAGAAAGGAACCCACAGCTACACGTGGGCCCCAGCAGTGGAAAGGATGCCCCACCTCGCTCGGGGACCAGGCGGGGGCCAGCATGTTCACTGGAAGAAGTGTGGGACCCCACAGCCTCCAGTGCCAGAGTAGACGGGAGGTTCAGGCCCACCTCAGGTGACGTCCCCCAAGCCCCCAGCCCACACCGCAGAGGGGTGACAGCCGGATCCAATGCCCACCATACTCAGCTCTGTGACTTCCCCCAGCATTACTCCAAGGCCCAACTCAACCAGAGGAAGCCTGAGCCACCGGCAAAACCCACCTCGTTCCTGCGGCTGCTCGGTCTCAGCTTCCTCTACTGAGTCTGGCAAGGGAGAAAAAAGAAGCCATCAACACCCCCAGCCAGCGCCTCTGGTCCTACGTCAGCTTGAGCTGGGTGTCGGTGTTGCAGGGTGAGAGCATTGCAGGGTGCAGGGGTTGAAAGTAATATCATCCACTTCCCTCCTGGATCATGGGAACAACATCATTGGGGGGTGGACACTTTCTGCGATATTGGGAGTAACATCGTCTTCTGTGCCTTGGAATATTAAGGACAATATCACGGCGGGGGGAGGTGGAGGCGTGTACATCTTCTGCAATATTGGGAATAATATTATCCTCTCTCCCCCTGCAAATTCGGAAAGCTATCACAGAGTGGGTGTTCACCTCCTGCGATATGGGGATTAATACCATCTTCTCCCCTTCCGGATATCAGGAAGAGTATCACACGGGGGTGTACAGTGTCCGCGATACTGGGAGTAATATCAACCTCTCGACCTTGAGATATTAGGAACAATATCCCAGGCTGGGTGTACGCCTCCTGCTCTATGGGGAGTCATATCATCCTCTCCCTTCCAGGATATTAATAACAATACCACAGGGCGGGTGAACACAGCCTGTGATACTGGAATTATTATCCCCTTCTCCCCCTCCAGATACTAGGAACAATATCACAGAAGAGCTGTACCCTCCTTGCGATATTGGGAGTAATAACATACACTTCTTCTGTGAATATTAGGAGCAATATCACCGGGTGGCTGTCCGTTCATTGCTATGTTGGGAGTCATGTCATACTCTACCCCCCTGGATGTTAGGATCAGTGTCACGGGGTGAGTGTACACCTACTGCGATATTAAAACTAATATCATGCTCTCTGTCCCTGGATATTAGGAATGACATCACAGGTAGGTGTACACCCCCTGCGGTATTAGAAGCAATAATATTATAAATTAGTAAACATCAATGATCGATTTTAATAATTATCAGGCTGGTCTCAAACTCTTGACCTCAGGTGATCTGCCCGCCTCGGCCTCCCAAAGTGCTGGAATTACAGGCATGAGCCACTGCGTCCGGCCAACACTTCTTGACATCTCTTTTTGGACCTCAAATTTAGCATGCCCAAAACGTACTTTTGATTCCCTCTGCTATAACCCACTCCTCCCAGTCTTCCCGATCCCAATAACAGCATCTCTAGTCTTCCAGTTACTCAGGCCAAAATCCTTGACATCATCCTTAAAACTTCTTTTTCTCTCTCTTGCCATCCAACCCATTTAAACTCTTCTTTCAAAATATATGCCAGACCTAACCACTTCTCACCTTCCTCATCATTTCCAACCAGGTCCAGCCCTCATCATAGCGCTCTAGGTAACTGCAAAAGCCTCCCAATCGCCAGGCACAGTGCCTCACGCCTGTAATCCCAGCACTTTGGTAGGCCAAGGCAGGTGGATCATCAGAGGTCAGGAGTTCAAGACCAGCCTGGCCAACATGGTGAAACCCCCCCTACTAAAAATACAAAAAATTAGCCGAGCATGGTGGTGGGCGCCTGTAATCCCAGCTATTTGGGAGGCTGAAGCAGGAGAATCACTTGAACTCAGAAGGCAGAGGTTACAGTCAGCCAAGATCGTGCCATTGCACTCCAGCCTGGGAGACAAGAGCGAAACTCCGTCTCAGAAGGTTAAAAAAAAAAAAAGCCTCCCAACGCACCTCTCTCCTTCCGCCTTTCACCCTACCCTGCATTCTACCTTCCACTCTCAAACATTTCAGAAAAAAAAAAAATTATATCCACAGAGAGAGAAAGAGAAAGTACAAATGGGGTGAAATGTTTGGGGAATCTGAGGGAAGAGCATACGGGAATTCTCTGTACTATTTTTGCAACTTTTCCAAAAGTCTGGATTATTTCGAATTCAAGAGTTAAACAAAGAAGAAAAATAAAAAAACCACTATCTCCCTTTGTGAACCCATCCTGTCTTTCTCCTGGCAACTGAAGGACGTTCTCAACTAACACATCTATTTTTTCATGAACAGTAAAAGAATCCTTGCCTAGATTTGTCTTTCTGTGCTTGGCAGTAGAAGTGTGTGTGTGTGTATTTCATATATATGTGTGTGTGTGTGTGTATATGTGTGTGTGGTATATATAGAGAAGGAGAAATATATGTGTGTGTGTATATATATAAACATATATATTGCATATTGACAATGGTAATGTGTATATATAAATATATGTGTGTGTGTGTGTGTATGTATATAATACATACCCCATTAGCCTGTCCTTAACCAGTTCTAAACTTAGTGGGAAAAACAGATACCTAAGCAGAGGATTTCAAAATAATATGAATATTTTGACAGAGGGATGCGTTGCTATGGAACATGCTGCTAAGACACAAAACCTCCGAGATGGGACAATGAATGAACTAAGTTTTGTACCTATAGGCACCCCCACTGATATCCTCACAAACTTTTATAGTTACATGCATTTGCTTCCCCCGGGACCCCCATTTCATAAGGGTTAGTCCTAGAGCCTAGTAAGTTCCTACTACAGCTGGCACACGTATGCCATTCAAGAAACAGTGGCTGAGTGAATGACGAGTTAAGAACCATTTGTCAGCCAGTGCTCAGTAATACAACACGCACTGGTATGCAAATTATATTTGTGTTGAAAGCAAGGGCAGGATCACAAATTGTCATTCCAGAGAAAGCAAACCTCAAAAACTTCTTTACCCTACTAAAGCACATTATAAGAAGTTCCCCTTATATAACAGAAAACCTCCTCATTCGTTACCAATGGCACGTAAACCTAGTACGCCTCCGCCTCTGATGACATCTCTTCCATCCCCAGGGCTAGATAAAGGAGGTTCCGGAAACCCTGGTAGTTGTGAAGGTGGCTCCCAGCTCTGACAGTCTTGAACCCTGCGGGCGCGGAGGTCACACAACAGAACAACAACCGAGGGAAGCATCAGCAGGCTCCGAATATGTTTGAACCTGAGACGGCAAATAAGCTGCAACCAACTGAAAACACCAGAGATTCACGGTAGCCACCTGAGGGGTTGTGTTTTAAAAAACAAAAACAAAAAATAAAAAGTAAAAAAGTGAAAAAGGAAGGGGTCAAGAATCCATCAGGTCTGACTGAGACATGTATCAGTGACTAACACCACATATGGCAAAAGCACTCCGGTGCACTTTGGGTCCCCACAGCTTCAGCAGTATTCAAAGGTGTGTGTTTCCCTAAGACTAAGCCACGGGAATACCCCCAGCAACTCTCCAAGGAGAAACAGCTCACATGGATTTGGCTAGAAATACAGTTGTCTTTAACAAATTAACACTGAATAAATCCTGACTTACTAGAGCCTGCGAGAATGACATTCTCAATGATAACAGTTATCACTACAATCTCCAAACATCTGCGATCCTGCAAGGAGGAACTGTGACAGCGCAGGCCACATGTCCAGAATGCTTCCCAGACTGCCTGTAACAGAATAAAAGAAATGAAACCCCCCCTAAGAATGTCTTCACTCACATTTAGCCAGTTGTTCCTTTGTGTATCTCTGTGCTAAAATGGCCATTCTTCCCCACAGCCTGAAGTCCTATGCTAAAATAAATGAGACTCACATGAAGCCAGAAACGTGCAGATGCGAGGAAACCCGCACAAATGAAATGGGCTGGAGAGTGTGGCCAGGAGGATGGTACTTCCCAGGAAGCAATTACTTCATCTCTGCCCACGAAGCAGGCAGCTGTCACTGTCCCCCAGGCCCACGCCAGCCACTCGAAGTAGGTTCTAACCAAACTACCTCCAACAATCAACGTAAATACACCACACAATTGGCTTCTGAAAGGACACCTTGCAACCAACAAGAAACTGTAAGCACAACTTTGAAAAACTGTGCAACTGAAAACCTTGGAAAGGGATAAACATTGCCACATTTTGACTCAAATACTGTTACATGGTAGCACTGCAATAATTCACTGAAACGAAAGAATGAATGAGGAATACCTTTATATAGGAATCAGAGGAAGCATGACTAATTATTTAAAGAAACAGGTCAAGAAACTGCTAGGTTCAAATGCTTCCGTGAGACACTGTCATGGCCTTAGGCAAATTCACTTCTCTTGGTCGTGTTTCTAGGCTCATCAAAAACCAGCTTTGGACTAGGGAACCTGTTGCTTTCCAATGCCTTCCTTCTGCGATTCCAGCCCAGATTTTAGGACTGCTCTCCCACTTGTTATATGAAAGCACTTTCTATGTATAATAGCAAGAGTACATTTCTGTGTTGAATGCGGTCTGGGACCTACTCTATGAGGAAGAATATCACCATGTAACTTTAAGCATCATGACAAGGCGCACTCTAGAGAAGGATAACACATAGGATGTGGCCACACGCCTGTGCGTGCCTGGCAGGCAGATGGGGAAGTCTCATTTCGTAAGGCCAAGGGGGCCCGCTGCACCTTAACATCCTCAATCCACGTCAAGTTCACAACGTCCTTCTGACATCAAACCACAGGTATCACATACTTTTCCATCCCTCTACCCAAGATTAAAATATGCAGAGCACCGTGATAAAGACGCCTCCATCACCAGCATGTTGGCTCTCGTTCTGTAGAATTACATACTTTCAGTGCAAAATGATCCCCAGGCTGCAGCGGCAAGCAAGACTGGCCTCCATGGGGACAGCAGGCCCTGCAGCAGCCACCACTCCTCTCGCCACAGTCTGATGCAGCTGCAGAGAAGCTGTGGCTGAGGCCATTCACTTTGTGAGAGAACCGCACAGGAGGGAAAAGGTAGGGAAGGTAGGGAAGAGGGCCATGTCGGCCTCTGAGTCCAAGCCAAGCCAATCCCCTGAGACTTGCACGTATATGCCCAGATGGCCTGAAATAACTGAAGAATCACAAAAGAAGTGCAAATGCCCTGTCCCGCCTTAACTGATGACATTCCACCACAAAAGAAGTGAAAATGGCCAGTTCTTGCCTTAAGCTATGATATTATCTTGTGAAATTCCTTTTCCTGGCTCATCCTGGCTCAAAAACCTCCCCCACTGAGCACCTTGTGACCCC